AATGGATAGTAGGATTGATGATCCAATTAATATATTATTTAGCTCAATTAATATATTATTTAACTGTAAAAATCAGCAAGGAATCTTTAAATTGATGACTATATTGTAAGTATTTTATTTTCTTGGCTCAAAAAATCACAGAAAAATGGCAGTAAAGATGTACTACAAATAATAAAATCTGACATCTCTAAAAATATTCCACTGAAGAAGGAAAAATTCACTATCTGTTGGACAGAGAGTGTGATGGTAAGTTAATAGGTAAAGACTATTGAAGAGAAGGGAGTTGGTTATCCCAGGGGAGATCTAAAAATGTTTCAAACGTGTAGTCAGCAGCAATAGAAAATAGGAATGGGATGTGGGGAAGGAAACCCTACTGATAAAATATCTGAATGTGTGTCAGTTAAGACCCTAAAAATACTTTATAAGAATAAATATTTCCAGTGGCCATGAAAATGAAAACTGCAGTGGCTCCCTGCCTCTTCCAGAGAGCAGTGGACATGCCCTGGGTATCCTGTGGGAAGGAAAACAGCTTCACCCAGAAAAAAAATAGGTCCATGCATTTCCCACCAAAATACAGAATGCTACAGAAGTGATTTTGTGGTTCAGGGACAGTTTGAATGGTTAATAAAAATGTTAACCTTCTAGGTGAAAATTATGCACTTAAAGAAAACTCATGTTGCAGGCATTGTGCTGAGGGTGAGGGTTTTAGGGTGACAAACACAAATTATGACAATTGCCTATCTTCACTGATCTTTATCCATAAATGTGAGTGGTCAAACAAGGATCATCACACTATTTAATAAAAATGTCAGGGTAAAAAACACTTTCCAATATTTAAAAACAGAATCCAGGGCCAAATTACACAAATTGAAAGGAGTTAGGAGATACTTAAAAAATAAATTAACTTCATGCAAAGAGTTATTAAAGATGAGTATTACAGATAATTTGTTTTCTGTCTAGGATTTAAGGGAGTGGAAAGAACTTGGGTCCACTATGAATTAAGAGAACAAAATGAAGAAACATTGGATAAATTGGACAAACACTTAAAAATACAATTTTTTTTCTTGAATCTATAAAAAGCTGAGTTAACAAGGTAATCATGTATCTCAAGTACTAAAACCCTAGAGGAGACAGCTAGATGCATGTGAACTCAGGCTTATTTGTGGGAGAACATGAGAGGCACAAATTCACTCTACAAGCATATCCTGAGACAATAATAATTGTGATAAATTAATTTCTAACTGCTATATTGGGGTTTTTCTGAGAATCAGAACTAATGTGAGCGAGATCAAGAGTGATAGAGAGAGAGATAATTTAAGGAAATGATTCATCTACTTGTGGATGCTGACAGGTGAAAATTCTAGAAGGCTGGAAACAAAGGAGAGAGATACCGTTGCCATCCAAGCCCAAAGGCTATACGGGACTTAATGTCTTCTTACCCAGAAGAGTTGGGACTTCTACAAATGAATGGTTGATGCCAATCCCTATTATACTGGGCATTTTAGCCTGACACCAAATCCCCCAACTTAAACATTAATCTCATTAATCTCATACAATGACACCCTCACAGAAAACTCCATAATAATGTGTGACCACATCTCCAGGTACGGTGGTCCAACCAAGTTGGCATATAAAATTAACCATACAATTGCTAAAGCCTAAAAGTTGGTGTTTGGGGTGTATAGAACCTCAAGAAATTGACTACATAAGCTTTTGTTCCTGCTCACATCTCCTTTCCAGGGATCTCTACCAGAGGTTCATGAAAAACAATTGGGACCAAAGTGGGAGATTTCAGAGAGTTTTCTTTGTGGTGCAGGGCTACAGGAGTGAACAAACTGACCTGTGAGCAATGTCTGAAGCCCTCACTGGACACCTCTCTCTGAAACAAAATCTTAAACACCTTAAACACGAAAGGAAATCTTGGCACCCAAGGCTCAAGTGAGTACTCATTGTGGCTGCAGGAAGGTAAAAGAAATCATCACCCAAGAAATATTCGCAGATCAAGAGTGCCAGACCAATGAATGTCTCTAATTTAGGATAAAAAAAAAAATTGTTCAACACAAATGCTACAAATATGCAAGACATAGATTGTTCTGGAGGCAAGGAGCAGGATCATAGCAGAAACTTCATTTCCACCCAGCGAAAAGTGCTTACTTGAGACAGAGCCTGGATCAGGACAAAAGATAGCATCTCTTGTTCTACATTCTCAAGCTAGAAAGTACTAAGAACATTCACCAAATACACTACATTAGAGAAAGAAAAGTGTGCAGAGAGACTGGATTTGTGGTGCAGCAAAGACAGATAGCAAGAAGTGTACAAGGATACACTGAGAAAAACCCTCCAGTAAATCCGTCCCAGCCTATGTCCAAGGAATCACTAGGGCAATTTTAAATGGTGTTCACTAAGGGTAACCATAGCAACAAAAACTTCCAAACTGAACTCCATTCCTAACAAGATGCACTCAGCACCTTATGACCTAAGGGTATAAAGAGGAGACCTGTCTATTTCTAGGTATGAGCGTCATTTCACTCAGTATTTCTGGTATTATACATTATGTCGATGATCTAATGAAAATTATGAGACATATGGAGAATTCAACTCACCATCAAAAGTCAAAGAAATTAACAGAAGCAGACACACAAATTATTCAGATGCAAAACTGTGTAACATAGGGAAAAGGTTCTCCCTGGTGGCACAAGGGGTTAAAACAAGCACTATGAGGCTGTCTGCAGCCACTGCAGCATGAGTTCGATCCCCAGCCAGGGAGCTGAGCTACACATGGCACAGCAGACCTATCCTGTCTCGTCCCCGATGCTTCCCTCAGCAATTCATTTCAGCAGATCCACCTGTTCTGTTCCTCATTCTGTCTCTGGTGAATCTTCTCTCCCCTCTGCACCTCTAGCCTGTACCCCAGTTCTTGTATGCATAAAAATTTTTTTTAAGTAAGGAAATAAAGGAAGCATAAGATGAAAGATACAAGCGTCTTTACATTTTAAAGGATCTTTAAATGCACAGCATAATGAATTTGAAAGAATACAAACCTAGGTTCATCCTAATGAAATTCAGAACTCCAAGAATAAGTTAAAATTTTGTAAAAGAAATAAAAATACAGTTTATGTCAAATCTGCCATCAACATCACTAAGAAACTAGAAAATGTAGCAGTGTCTTCAAAATTCTGAAGGCAGATTTTGAACTTAGACTTCTATGCTCAAGACTTTAGATTTTATTCTGAAAGTAAAATAATTTGCAGTTACCTGAAGGACTAATGATGGGAAAATTTTCAAAACATGAAATCTACTAAAAGTGAAATAGATACTAAACACAGTTACATTAATGCAGGGAAAAACTGAAAAAGAAGTTGAAGAATAACTTCTTTCCAGCAGATTTAAAAAGTAATACTTCCCATTCAGACTTAATAATAGATATGACTAAAAGGTTAAATGCACTTAATTGCAAGGCATGTTTCAGTAAGCTCATGAAGTGATTTGTATGCCTGCTAAAATTTGAACAACATCATTGCAAGATTTCTAATTTCTAGTTTTCTATATTACAAGTCAACTGGCAAACTTGAGTGTTGATAACTCAAGAGATCAAGGTTCAAAATGACATTTAGAATTATGAACAGGGGAGTAGGAGTAACATCTTCAATTAAAAACTGCAATGTTTAACAATGGCTACCTTTAAGAAATAAGATTACTAAATGAAGCAGAGGTAAATTTTTAATTTTCATATGCACTTTTGGTACAGCTTGTATTTATTTACTTATTTTTTTGAAGTTATTTTTACAACTAATATAAGCCTACTAGACAGGAAATTTCCAAAGATGGCAAAACCATTAAACAACTACTCAACTATTTTTATAGTTAAACAACTGTTTCAAACTTCCACTAACAGTTTGGATTTGTTAAATTAAATTGGGTATACTAGATCAGATAATTGTTACACAAAAATTACATTTCTCAAAAAATATTAAAATGAAGCATAAGAAAAGATTTACAAACTTTAGTTAAGGTTCTATGCTTACACTGGGACTGAAAACAATTATTGAAAAAGCAACTATTCATTGTATTGCAACATAATGAAGTTCTAAATAATAAGCCACAGTTTTATATATTCACAAATTGAAACTCATAATCACTGTTTCAAGTAGAGTAGTTCTAAAATGAGATTAATCCCACTTCTCTACACTAAACCCTAAAAGGAATTTAGCATTTCCTATGTCTTTGTTACTAAAATAAACTCACTCCACTTATAAATGCTTGGAATTTAAAATACCCACAACCAGTGTGTATTTAGTCAGCTATGTAATGGTAATAGCAATTCATAAGTCTTTTTTTTTTTAAGATTTATTTATTTATGTGTAAAGAACTGGGGTAAAGGCCAGAGGTGCAGGGGCATTGAGAGGATTCATCAGAGTCAGAGTGGGGTAGCAAAACAAGCTGACTGATGAAGTACACTGCTGAGGGGAGCAGCGGGCAGGTCAGGAGAGGTCTGCCACGCCATGTGGGTCACCTCTGGGGCAGGGATCAAGCTCATACAGAAGTGGCGACAGCCAGCTTCGCAGTGCTGCACTTTAACCCACTGAGCCATCAGGGAGGGACAATAATTCATAAATCTTAATAGTTTGCAACAACAAAGGTTTATTTCTCACTGATGTTTAATCTTGGCAGCTGTGGGTTTCCACTCCATGTATTCTTTCATTCAAAGATCCAGGCTAAAGGTGTGACATCACCTGGTACATGTAATTCTCATAGCAGGGGGTAAAATAACAAAAGAATTGATGGAAACAGAAACAATAGCTGAAGGTTTCTGCCTGAATGTAGCTATGTAATTTCTGATCCTAGACCCTTGGTCAAACTCCTTTCCTTAAGTAGGCATAGCAAGTTACAGAGCAATAGATAAGAGTCAGAAGCCTCTTTCAGAAGTAAGTAAAGTTGGGAGGAATATTAATACACTTGTGCATAAGTTTTCCTTTTACTTCACACTCTGCCACACTAACCTTGTGAGATATTCTGAGGTTGTACACCAGATGATCAAGTATTCCAGAGAGGAACAGGAAAGCTGGAAAAGATGAGTTCCTGCCAAAAAATGTAGCAGAGTAAATTGAATAAGGAAACATTTTAAAACTTTGGTAACTTCCTACAAATTCTGCGTTTTTGGTACACTGATGCTACTTGAAAGTATTTTTTAATTATGTGATGAGTTATATGTTTATAAATATTATGTCGGTATAGAATTTTTAAAGGGACAATAAAAAATAAGAAATATATGAGATACTACTATTAATCATCGGATTGAACTGGAAAAAGCAAATTTGACATCAGAGGAGTTCTGAATATTGATTTCTCACTTGAGTAGAAAGACCAATTTAATTCCAATCAGATCTATGCAAAATTGACAAGTCTGAAAAAGTTTTATATGAAACATTAGAACTTGTCAGACTGTGATTTTTCTCCATTTGTATGCAGAACATAGGCAAGTCAGACTGCAGACTGTGAAACTTAGTCAATATCATTGTATTGCATTTACTAGTCACAGTTTTTCTGTACCTCCTATGCAAATAGCTATCATCTTCAACCAACAGAAAATCTGGTGCTAAAATTCTGGCACTACTGAACAAGTGATGCACAGAGCAAATGTTCTCACCTAGATGGAGAACAGCAATAGAAATGCATTGTAATGATTAATGATTTCTAATAAAATCTCAAAGCATAGCATGTAGTTGTTATTCTGAAGTACCAAAAATATACAAAAAACATTCCAGTCACTCTAAATAAGAAATTAAAAACTCTAGAGATAAAATTGCACCTTGCATGCATTCACCTCTGTGTTTGTCATTCTGTATTCAAGTGCAAAGAATTGCAGTTGGGGACAATGTTCTGTTCTTGAATTGGAAAGGCAATCATGGAGTTGGGGCTGCATCTGATGCAGAAGCAGTCTTGTGGGACTGAGTTTTTTTTTTTTTTTTATACCAGTCTTCATTTCATGCATTTTTTTATCTCAGTTTTAATCCCTGTGGTCTTCCCCCTACCATTCACCCATGTGCCATCACCACAGCCCCTTATGCTCTTCACACCCAAGTTTTGAGCCTATTCCCCTCTTCACCCCATAAAATGTCTCTGGTTTATAGTTGTTCATTGTTTTTCCTTTTTTATTTATTGCAATTGATTTTTTTTCCCCCCTGATCACTTATGTTCCTGCTATGAGTGAAACCATCTGGTAGTTTTCTTATTCTTTCTGGTTTAGCTCACTAAGCATGATCCCTTCCAGCTCTATCCATGTTGCTGCGAAAGGCATGAGTTTACCTTTTTTTGATCACTGAGTAATATTCTGTTGCATATATGTGCCACATCTTCTTAATTATCTATTTTTGGGCATTTTGGTTGATCCCATATCTTCCCATTTGTAAATAGGGCAGCAATAAACATGGGGGTGCAGGTGTCATTTTGAATAAATGTTTTTATGTCCTAGGAGTGGAATTGCTGGATCACATGGAAGTTCCATTTTTAGCAGTTTGAGAAACCTCCAAACAGTTTTCCATAATGGTTGTACTAGTTTGCATTCCCACCAGCAGTGCAAGGGAGCTCTTTTTCTATACATCTTTGCCAAATGGATTCTAAAGCAATTTGATAAGTATTGGGAAACAAAATGATGCTTTTTATTGACTTGCTTAGTCAAGGAACATTAATGGTGGTTTTCATTCCTAGAGGGGGTTATCAGTAAGAAGAGATGCTATCATGTGATACACCCTAGATGTTTCTAACAGTGGAACAAATGAAAAATGGGGCAAATATAGTCGATAACAGCTAAGGTTTTGTCCAATGAGGTGTTGAGTCTTATCTAAGGTTTTAAGTATATTTCAATCTTACTTCTTATAATAACTTTTCTGATATGTATGATGCATGTATGTGTGCATAGATATAATTGGTCATTAAACACTACACTGGCTTGCGTCTTATGCTGCAATTGCAATGATGATAACCCAAGACAGCACCATTCATTGACATACACAGTCAGGTTTTCTAGTACTAGTTGAGCAAGGCTAACTTTAATAAAACTGCACATGTCACTACGACATATGAGGAATAGGGATAGAATTATTGTATGTAGAAGAATTATCTGCCTAATAGCTATTTTAAAAGTTTTATTTGAATTTAATGATAGTAAAGTAATTATATCTGGAATCATTGCATCTAAAGATAAAACATGTGAAAGATGTTATTTTACAACTAGGAGGGGAAACTGCATATGACTTGAAGAATGTAGAGTCTAAATTACTTCTGATATTTTTGACATATTAAATCATTTCATATTTATGTATTTAACATGTAAAACACCCCAGTAGACTAAAATCCCCAGTTTAAACCATCATTACCTAATCTGTCATATATCCCAGTTAGTGTATAAATGCTAAAATTCTGAGCCATAGATAAAAGATTGTAGAGTAATTTTCTAAGGAGTTTGCAGACTAAAAAGGAAAAACAGAAATTGAGGAAATACACCTACTATTATTGTTCATTATTGTTCAGACTGTTGTGTACTTTATTATTTTGTTATAATTAAACTGATAAGAACAGATACTACACTTGATCTTAGCCAAAAGGTTGAGAAGCAATATTTTGTTATGATTAAAGCATAACAATCTTTACAAACTTGTTTAGAATCAAAGTAGAATTAACATAGAGAGATACACTCATATGAGGGCTTAGAAAATGTTTTTTGTCTGTACTTGTTTTTATCAAATCAAAATCATATTCACAGTATCTAATACCATAGTAGGATGAATATTTTATATAAAGTGAGCCTATCCCTAGGAAATGGTATATATACAGAGAATCCACACTGGTCAGGTTTATTTTAAAAGTTTTCATTTTCTGAAACTAGTACACATCATAACAATGGAAAATAGTTTCTTAGATAAGATCAAAGTTGGCTATTGAAGAGTGTGTTATATAAACCCCTGAATTCCAGAAATTATATGTCAAATTTTATACTGATGCCTAGTATCTCTCCTACCATTTTTTTCTTTTCATTCTCTACATCCTGATTTGAAATGTACATCTGCACTGACCTGCTACTTATTTTTAAATATTTCAATTCCAAAACTACTACACAAAATACTCCCATTGAAAAGTAAAGAAGAAAAAAAAAAGATGAGTGTGTGACTAACCACTGTCATAGTTAAATAATATTACTTGAAAATACCATCATATTTACTTTAATTGGAGAAACTGAAAGTTACAAAAACATTCCAACATTATAAAAACTAAATCCAACAATGAAACATGTCTCTAACTTATAAATAAATGCAACCACTATCTGGAAAACTGAGACTAAAGGTCTATATAATGAAAATCAAAACTGCATCTGGAAGCAGGTTGTTCTCAGATATTATGCAAAGGAAATAAAAATACATACTTAGTGACAACAAGTACCTATGAAATGGAACACTATAAAAAGGAGATAATTTGCCATTTGCCGCTTCATCTATGAATAAAAATAAATTTTTGAATTAAGAGCAGTATGTTATAAAATGGTTTCCTTTAGAAAATTGCCCCTTTTTACAGTTCATACATGCAAGACAATGCATGAAATGTACCTACTGAGTCAGTTCGCTTTTTACTTGGAAAGATTACTTGGTGAGATATCTCTTGATACAGACTCAGAACAAAAGAAATGATCAAATCTTCTCATTTTTACTGCAGAAAAAAACTGGACACTATAAAGTTCATACCCCATTGAGCTAGCAATAATTGCAACAGAGAGGTGGGAAAAGTTAGGAATCATGATAAAAGTAACTCAATAGTTGAGTTCTCACTCTTCACTGTCAGGAAGGCAGTGCTGATTAAGAAGTGTTCGGATGGCCATCAGAGCCTGTCAGGTCAGAGGGCACTGATTTTCAATTCACAGCAATACCATGTGGGCACTTGTATTTGAAAAGCACCCAGCACACTCCTGAAGGAATACTTGGCATACCTGCCTTGAACTCAACTTAGCTTTTTTTTTTCCATCAAAGGGTCAAAACTGATTTCAGGACATCTTTCTCAAGAAGATGTATTATCCTTTCAATGTGACAATAAAGAACCTGACAGTACAGGAACTTTTAGTTGGATTATATTGAAATTGAAATGAGAGTTAAGTATAAAATATGTAATTAACCATAGGTTCAATGCACATACCACAAAACAGACAATGCTCTCAAGAAGCTCTATTAAAACCACAAATATTAAAAGTGATTAAATATAGCTACCAATGAGGCCTCTGGTACTATTAAACTCAGAGCATTATCAAAAATCATTTAAAACTGATGGAAAGTAGAAGTCAAAATAGCCACTAGTAAACCACTGTATAGATGATGAGCAGGTAACATTAACTTGAGGATCAGTAGCATATTTTTTGATGTTTAAAACTCAAAATGAAAGCAAAGTATTACTACCAAAGAATATCATCAATTAAAAGTTGCAAATTCAACACGTTTACCACTGGAGTTGTACATTAACTTTTATTTAGTTTTCATAACTCTTTTAGCTGAAAATTCACTAACCTATATCATCTGTAAAACGTGTCAAACAGTACACACAACAATACAAATGAAGTTGCAAATGAGGATCACGTGCCAGTACACGCACAGCAGTTAATCTAACACCATCGTAAATACTCAAAGAGTGGTACATATCATTAACACTATAGGCAAAAACTGCTATATAATATGAACCCTACTATATTCTGGGTATAATCTATTTCTTTATATACATTTGACTCATAACAGTCCTATTTTTTTTTCTTTTATTATTCCTGTTGTTCAGGAAACAGCACTAAGTCAATAGTATACAGAGAAGCAGAAAAATCAGTTTAAAATGAGTATCTGACCTTGAATCCATCTAATTTCAACTATACCATTGGTTCTCCAGTTTTAGTCCATATTAAAGTGAGAATTTCATGGACAGCTTGTGAAAATAGTTTCTGGTTCCTATCAGCAGAGATTCTGATGGAAAAGGTTGAGGTGAAGGACATGTATTTGCATTGTAACAGACTTACAAGTAATACTGATGCCCCAACCCCATCCAAGGATCACACT